GAAGGGTGGAGGGGCAGAAGACAGGAGACCTCTGAAAGAGCGGCGAGACTTTGGAGACCAGACACGCCTGGAGAGAACTCGGGCTCGGGGCACGCGAGAATTTTCTTGCACTCTCAAGGGGCGCGCTTGGGGTTCTTGCCATGGCCGGCATTCGGAGCCGTGATCCTTGGGGTGGCCCTGGGATTGGCTACTTTCTTAGTTCCCTGCTTATCGGACTGCTTTTCCCACGGGCTGTCGCCTTCAATCTGGACGTGATGGGCGCTCTGCGCAAGGAAGCCTCTTCGTCTTCTCTGTGGCCTTGCACCGGCAGTTGCAGCCCCGACCCCAGAGCTGGTGAGTCACCGCGCCCGCCCGGCGTCCCATGTCCAAGCCACAGATCGCCCCCCAACACCCGCATTCCCCACGCACTTCACCTTTCAATCTTCCAGCTCCACCAAGACTCAGGCTGCTCACAGGCACCCCTCACACCAGCCTGGAGCCTTGCCGCATTGGTCTTGGGTCCAGAGCATACTCCAGTCCCTGGAACCCAGGATCTTGCTTTGGGGATGGGTTGGAGAGCAGGGTTCCCTTGGCAGGGAATGGCCTCCTTCCCTCTTTCCTTTCTCCTTTACACCCCCTCCCTCCCCGCCCCCTTGCATCTTTGCTCCAACCCTAATGTCTCTGGCTTTCCTCTTTCAGGAGGCTGAATTCCCCCAGGGAAAGGGACCAGCCATTCTGTCTCTGCTTAGGCAGGAGGAGAGGGAAAGAACAGAGAGATCGAGGGGACCAGGGGCAGGATGGAGGGTGGACCCCAGAAATAACTTCGGCCAGAGCATTGCCATGGAATGGGATGAGGACAGCAGGGCACTGGGAGGCCAGGAGAGAGCTGTCACTTCTGTGGCTGAAGACTATAGGAACACTGGGAAAGGACCGGTGAGGGTGAGGCAGCATGTAGTAGGGATCTGGTGACAGAGAGTGGCAGAAAACGGAGCCCCCCCAAATAACGGCCCAGGAGTAGCAGCAGCAGCAGCAGCCGGAGGCGACGGAACACAGC